TTTTTTTTGAACAGCCGTGCTGCGGAACCCCGTGTTTTTGCATGTTTTGTGGATGCTCGATGTTTGAAATCCTTCCGACACCAATGGTTTTTGAAGGATTTCGGCATGCGCGCACGACGATGCGCGCGTGTGCACTCCGTCAATTTGTTTGCCAGGGATTCGCGAACACTTCTGGTTTTTGATAAGCGAGTGTGCGCGCATAGTGTTTCTTGCATAGGATGGCGGGGGGGGGCGATAGCGGTCCTCCTTGGACAGTGTAAGTTCATATTTAGGATGGACGATGGGGCAGAGTCACATGTAAATTGGAATACGGAAAGGTGGACCGTTAAGTCCGAGGGTGGTAGAACCGATTTCTTTTTTGAAAAGGGAATGTAGCTGGTGCGAGCTATGTTGTGCAGTTTTTGTGCTGCGCGATCTATGTGGTGCAACAGGCGCGTTGCAATCTATATGGTGCAGGCTATGTGGTGCCAGACATGTGGTGCAAACTTTGCGGTGCAATCCACTCTGCTGAACTTGAAGTCGTCATCTCCACTGCTTGCGCAAACATCCCACCCACCCACCCGCAACTTGGTTGGCAAAACCTCTTAAGACCGACTGCGACGACACCGACGACAACGACGACGACGACACCGACGACGTCTCCGACGACTTCGGCGACGACACCGACGCCGACGCCGACGACGACGAAGACGACGACGACGACGCCAACGAAGACGACGACGAGGGAGGAGGAAGGACGACGACGGCGACAACGACGACAACGACGACAACGACGAGGGGGGAGGGAGGACGGCGACGACACGAACGACGAAGAAGCAGGAAGGACGGCGACGCCGACGACGACAACGACGAGGGAGGAGGGAAGACGACGACGACAACGACGACGGCGACGACGGCGACGAAATAGGAGGGACGACGACGAGACGCCGACGACGGACGACGACAACGACGAGGGAGGAGGAGGAAGGACCACCGCGTCGACAACGACGACGGAAACGACCACGACGCCAAAGAGGACGACGACGACGAACACGAGGAAAGACAGAGGACGACGTAGGCGACGACGACGACGACGACGCGGGAGGAGGGAGGACGGCGACGACGATGACGACGCCGCAAGAGCGCGCGCGCACGCTTTTGTTGAACATGCGTGTTGCGAAACTTTAGGTTTTTGTAGGTTTTTTGGACACACGATTTTGAAATCCTTCCGAAACCGATGGGTTTTGAAGGTTTTCGGCATACGCGCGCGACGACGCGCGCGTCTGCACTTCGTCCAATTTTTTGCAGAGGATTCTCGCGACGGCACACGCGCAAGGGCGTTCGACAGATTTAGACATGCGCGCGCGAAGCCCGTTTACTAGCATTTTGTGAAAATCTTGACAAACCGATGGTTTTCTTAAGATTTCGCAAGAGCTCGCGCGGAAGGTTTTTTAGCAAATCAGTGTTGCGAAACCTTGTTTTTTGTTTGTTTTTTGGAAACTCGATTTCAGAATCCTTTCGGCACCGAAGGTTTTTGAAGGATTTCGGCATGCGCGCGCGAGGACGCGCGCGTGCGCACTTCGTCCCATTTGTTGCAAGGGGTTCGTGAAAAAATTGTATGTTAGAACAACAAATGTCACCGCATAGTGTTTTTACAAAGGAACCGCAGGTGGGGGGAACCCGGCTGGCCTGGGATAGTGGAAATTCATATTTAGGATGGACATGTGGTCAGAATCATGTATGATTTACATACCCGAAAGGGGTGTCGATAACGCCGGGGGGGGGGGTAGATCCCATTCTGTTTTTAGAAAGGAGAATAGACGTGGTGCAATCCATGTGGTGCAATGTATGTCTTGCAGTCTATGGTGTACAACCGTTGTGGAGCAATGAACAAGTGGTGCAACATATGAGGTGCAATATATGTGGTGTATCTATATTCTGAGTCTATGTGGTGCAATCGACGTGGTGCAATATATGTGTGGTGGAATCTTCGAGTGAGACAAGCAGTGCAACGAGCACCACGTCTTCGAGCAGCACGTCAGGGACTAGCACTTCGTCAGTGAGCAACACGACGGAGTCGAGCACCTCGACCTTGAGCAGCACGACGGTATCCAGCACAAGCAGCCTCTCACCTACGAGTGAGCCGAGCAGTTCGCCCAGCACCACACGCTACGACGAGGCGGACGACCACGGCCCCAGTGGGCCAGCTCCATCACCCCAACCCGCAAAGCTTGCCAGTGCTGGCGCACACCCAGCTCCTCAGCGCACCACTTCCTGCCACCAGGCCCGCGCCACACCCCACCAGGGAACGGGAAGTAAAGGCCCTAAAACCACCCACCAGGGTGAAAAGACCCGGGCGACAGTTGCACAGCCCACCCATCGGAGACGTGCCCTCACGCAACGTGTCACCGTGGCCAGGCAACAGCATGCCCGCAATCGTGAAACTGCTGCCACCAGACCACCGGAGCCACCAGGCCACGTGAGCCACCAGGAGCAGTCGAGACCTCGACAGTTTCCACCGAGCGCAGTCCGCCTGGAGCGACCTCCAACATGCCCTCCGCACTCCTTCCTCTCCCGGGGCCACTCGCCAGGAGACCATCCAGGCGCGACTCGACGCCCAAAGCTGGGGCACCAGCCGCTGGCCCACTTGCACTCCGTGCGCCGTGAGAGCGCCAGGCCGTCCGTTCCACGGCCTGCGCCCTTGGCCGCTGCTGGGGGTGCCCCAGCGCGGCGCCTTCATTTTCGACGGGCTCCGAGGCGTGCGCTCCCAAAGCGCGCTAGAAGCTGGTGCCTCCCTGCAGTGGGGGCGCGCAGAGGAGGCGTGCCACGCCCCCATCGCCACGCCCTTCCAGTTTTTGTCCGGTCGGGTCCTCCCGACCCCGCCAGAGGGAAGGCCCATCTTCTGCCACCCCTGCCCGCTTCATGCGGCCCCTCGCGCCAAAGGGGTGTGAGCAGGAGGTGCTTTTAGCCTTCGCCCGCGGACTAGACCAGGTCCGCATTGTTGCGCGTTCTCTCTCTCTCCCTATCTCTCCCTCTCCCCTCACCTCACCCAACTCATCTCTCTGTCTCCCTCCACATCTCACTCTCTCTCTCTCTGTCCCTCTCTCTGTCTCCAGCACTCACGCACTCGCAAGCACATGATATGTCTCATGTGTCTCTCTTTCTCTCTCTCTCTCTTGTTCTGTCGTTATTTCGTTGTTTGATCTCTCTGTCTCTTTATTTCTCCCTCTTTCTTGTTTGTATTGTGTTTCGCTCTCTCTCTCTCTCTCGATGTGTATAAATACATGTATATGTAAATGTGCACCTATGTACAGTGTCCCGCTTCCTTTTTGTTGTTTGTCATGCTTATACTCCTTATCGGGTTCGCTTGGGCTTCAGAGTATGTCTAGCTTCGCCTCGGCCTCTAGAGGCTTGGTCTTGGGCGCGGCGTTTGTCGCTGGGAGCTCGTGCTGCGCTGGAACGGAGGGCGCGAAGTTCGGTGCTGAAACTTGTAGTTGTTTTGCTTTCGGTGGGTTTGGATCCAGAAAGCGAATCCTGGACCTGAGTGTTTTTTTCCAGACTCACTGCTTGCAGTGGGTTGCCGCTAGAAGGAGCTGGGGAGTTCGTTGGTTCGCCCGTTTTCTTCCGTGTCAATTGCATCTTGGTTCTTGGGATTTGGTTGGCTACACGCTGATTGTTGCATGTTGCGTCAATGATTGGCGTTGTTTAGCAGCTGTGTCTTGCATTCAGGGTCAGAGGATTCGTTTGCTTCGTCGCCATCGTTGTACTTGGTTTCTGAGATGTCGGTCGATTCGACGCTGGTCCCCGCACCTTGGTTCCAGGAGATGTGCTGGCTCGTCTTGACTTTGTTACGGCATTTCGGTGGATTCGAGCTGTTTGCTTGCATTGTTGGGTCTTGGAGATCGGTAGTTTCAGCGGTGGTCCTTGCACAATTGCTCTGTGATGTGTGTTGTTTCGTCGCTGGTCCTTGCACCAATGTGCCAGGAGTTTGGTTGGTTCAACACCGTTCCCTGCACTAGGAATGTTGGCGCCATGTTAATAATAGTTTGCCGAGCTGTAGCTGCACTGTAAGCGTTATACAATAAATACTTCTGCCTAGCGGGAATGCTGCAGTCGCGACATAGCCTGCGCCTCGGCGAACTATCAGCGCAGCTGGAAAATATATGGTAGGAGTGATTTTGCACAGAAAACCAATAATTTTCTGTATAACACCCTTCCTAACCCCAGATTCTTCCCAACCAGAGCGCTGTCAATTCTAAAACCTACCATAATCCCGAAACCTTTCCCAGCCCAATGCATTTTCAAAATCCTTCCTTCCCCAGCGTTCTGATTTGAATTCCTCTGTGAGTCGGAATCCTCTCTGGCAATTCTTGTTCGAATTCTTCTCGAACCCAATATCGTTCTGTCAAGGCCGTCTGCGCGCGGGCCTATGTTGTTCATGCTCGCCACCATTACTGCTGTAACCGCCAACAGCGCGCGCCACAGCAAATAATTCATAAACCACTTAACGCTGAACTGTATCGAACAAGCTATAGCATCTTGCGTTCCAGAGGTGACCTGCGTTGCGTCACTGTTTGTGGTCCGCGCGGTGGTCTCGCACGGCGTACCGTGGAATCGACACCACCGGTTTCCGCGGCGCTGCTCCGTGAGTCGTTCTCGATACTCCGCCGTGGTCCCCTGTCCGCTCCTCCGCGTCGCCTCCTCCTTTCTCCTTCCCTGCTCTCCCTCTGCTTATTCTATGGAGACGCTCCTGCGCAGGAAACTCACTTCCTGTCGTGACGCTTCTTTGCTCCGTTTTGTTTTCTTGCCTTCTATTTCTCCGACTGGGATTGTTTCGTGAGAGGTGCCCCGGCGCCTCTTCTCCAGGTTGGAGCGTGACCCGCGATGGGCCGTCCGCATCATCCTCTCCCTCTGCCTCTCCTTCTGCCTCTCCCTCTCCTCCGATCGCTCTCATCCGTACCCTCCGCCTCCTGCCAGAGCATCGCATCGGCGCCCCCTCTCCCAAGGAGTGGTCAGTCACGATGACTGCCTCAGAAGGACAGATCCTGGGGTGGCAGCTGAGCTCATCTGACAACGAGTTTCCTGTTACCGTCCGCGGCATAGTTATTCGATGCAGGTGCGCCGTCTTGTCTGATCACCCGTGATTGCCATTTGCTCGGGGGCCCGACATGGTAATCATACGAGCCCTGGATCCAGGGTGCGTTGCCCGGCCGATCAGATAAAGGTAGTGATTTCAGCTTCGTGGCGACCAATGCTTGCCAGCCGAATCGATCCTTATGGAGTCGCTGAGGTCAGTAAGATCCGCAGCAGCGGCCTCGTTGCCCTCCACAACCAGAAGCATCCTGAGGCGAAGATCATGAATGGCGACGTCATCGTCAAGGCTCGGGGGGTGCTGGGATTTCAGTCGTGCGCAGCCAAGCGGAAGTGGAGTTCCCATGCCTGCCACTTGTCATCTTTCACCAGGACGTGTCATGCCAGTCTGTTGTTGTAGCGTTCGCAGGCGCTCCCCGAGCATTTAGGAAGTCCACGAGCATGCGGGTACCCCCTGGACGTGTATGTTCGTCATCGAGTTCCGATAGCCACCTTGCGCTCTATGGATGTTTGGTGTACGCTTCTCCAAGGGACTGCATGCCTTTGACACCCAACTCATCATGCCCGAACAACTTTTTCTGACCAGTTCTTGTTGTGGACCTCAGGCGGCAATGCCTATCCTGCTCTCGCTCCTCCTCCAGCTCCACCTTCCGCTCCTCCTCGTCATATCCCCCTCCTCCTCCTGCTCTACCTCCGCATCCTCCTTCACGGACTATCCTTCCTCAAGCCTGGCCTCATCATCATCATCCTCCCACCCTTACTCCTTTTCATAATTGCCCTCATCTTCCGCGCCTCCCACTCCTACTACTCTTCCGCCTCCTTCAGTACGCTTGGCACCCCAATCATCGCGACTGTGTTCGTCTGCTTGGCCTCTGGCGGAAATAACCAGTCGTTCCTCGCATGCTGAGAGGTGGGAGAGGATGAAGATGATGATGAACATGATAATGAGGAGGGGGGAGGAGGAGAAGGATAGGGTAAGGCCGTTGTGGGTCGGTGTCTCTAGCTGCAGAGTGCTTCAAAACACTTCGCAGGCTGACCCCTGGGTGATCTACATGGAAACAGGCCTCCTGGATCGTTTCCAATCTTGGGGGCATGCCTGGGGCGTCCCAGTCCCTGGTCGACTTCAGGGAGGCTGTGCGCCCCGCTAGCATGAGACCCTGCCCAGTATCGTTTACGTAAGTCGCAGAAGCAGGGAGGTCGGCGCTGCTGCCGTCGCGCAGCGCACGCCTCCCACGAGAAGGCCAGACAATTGCGGGCCAAGCGCCAGCTCCACGAGAGAACTCCTCCTCCTCCGCCGCCTGCTCCCCTCCTCCCCCGCCCCTCCACCCCCATGGGCCACTGCACGATGCACCGTCTCGTATCTCTCCGCGGAATCCTCTGTCCCGAGATGGGACCGAGTGGCAGAGACGCCGAGGAGCCAGGAAGGGAGCAGGAGTGGAGGACAGCCGAGGAAAGGCAAGGGACAAGCAAGCAGCCGAGACCCCCGACCAAGGGGGAAGGGGAAGAGAGGGGATGTGGCAGCCGCGGTAGGCAAAGCCTAGCAAACGAATTGCTTCCCTCTCGGCAAGCACCACTGTGACAAACATGTTTTTTTCAAGAAGCTGTTCAATGGGTGCGACCATTGCAATCAATAGCGCCGACCTGCATCCAGATTTTTATTGCTGCGTACACCTCATGCCTTTTCTGCTATGTGTGTTCAAACCGTAACATGATGCCAGCACAATGCAGTTCTCCATTGTCTATAAATGTTTTGTATACGTGGTCAAACAACTTTGTAAACGCGGTTATTGTGCTCTTTGCCTCGGCCTCTGCTTCTGCCAATGTGTCAATTTCTGCTGAAAGACTGCCAACATCCAAATTATCCGACTCGGTACTGTCCTCCCCAGATCGCAAATTAGTACAATCCGATGCGCGTTTGCCCCTGTGTCCTGGTCTGTCAAAAGGTGCACGGTGAGTCCACGTTCCAATGGATGGCAATTGTATGTATGTTTTAGGTTGCTGATGCCTAGGAATGCAGCAACTGTCCTCCTCTTTTTGGATCAAGCCAGTATCCCACAGTCTATGTTGTTCGCACGTTGCCTTCGTTCGCGCTTCCACTGAATAAGTAAAATCAACATGTGTAGTAATACGGTGGGGAACAACTAACGTATGGCAAATCCACATGCCCACAGACGGCAGTTGAGCGTAGCTTGAAACATGTAGGTGGGGACAATCGGCCTGCGCAAACGGTTCCTGACCTGGTTCGTCCAATATCGCTTGTCCCATGTCTGTTCAGGCGGTTTCCAGAAATTTCAGTATTGCTAACTTGGCTTCCTGAGTTTTTTCGCGAGTGTGTGCGACGAATTCTGTCTCTGCGTCTCGCACTCTTGCTTTTTGAGGTCACACTGTCGAATCGAAATGCGGCACAAGAAAGCATGGCGGCGGCAATTAAGGTGGCGACAACAGTACGGTAAGCGGTGTGAACTGTGTGCGCCGAGGCCCTCCCGACTCCCACTGCTCCCAGTTTCGACTACCGGGGAGCGATCCAAGACTCCGAACGGCTGGTCTATGGTTCGATGCCCTCAAACAGCAGCCTGGGGAGTGGAGGAGGAGGAGGAGGATGAGGAGGAATGAGGGCGCAAGTAGGAGGGAAGATGGAGATGATGATGATGATGATGATGATGATGATGATGATGATGATGATGATGATGATGATGATGATGATGATTCGGATGATTCGGATGATCATGATTATGATGATGATGCTGAGTATGATGATGATGATGCTGAAGGTGGTGCTCATGATGCTGCTGATGATGAGGAGGATGATGATGATGATGATATTGATGATGATGATGATGATGATGATGATGATGTTGATTATGCTGATTGTAATGATGATGATGATGATGATGATGATGATGATGATGATGATGATGATGATGATGATGATGATGATGATGATGATGATGATGATGATGATGATGATGATGATGATGATGATGATGATGATGATGATGATGATGATGATGATGATGATGATGATGATGATGATGATGATGATGATGATGATGATGATGATGTGATGATGCTGATGATGGTGGTGATGATGATGATGCTGATGCTGATGCTGATGATGATGATGATGATGATGGTGGTGGTGGTGGTGGTGGTGATGGTGATGATGATGCTGATGATGATGATGATGATGATGATGATGATGATGATGATGCGGAGGAGGAGGAGGAGGAGGAGGAGGAGGAGGAGGAGGAGGAGGAGGAGGAGGAGGATATGGAGGTGGGGAAGGCGGGGGAGCAGGAAGGGGAGAGGAGGGACTGTTTGAGGACGATGGGGGGAATGGATCACTGGGCGAAAGCAACCCGGAAGCTCGGACCCCCCCTCCGTCCAGGCGAACAGCGTCCTGTGGCGCCAGAACTCGACGGCCTTCCTGGAGGGCTTGGCCGAGGAGTTCTCGAGGGCCAGCGCCACGGGCGGCGAGATAACGTTCTTCCTGCGGAGGCCCCCCCCCAGGGCGGCGGTGCCGCGCGGCAGCGGGTGCAGCCCGAGGGGTGTGGGGGGGGGGGGGGGGGGGGGGGGGCGGGGCGGCCCTCGCCACACCGCAGGCGGGTATGGCCAGGAACCCGGGTAAGGAGACCCGGTTGGTGGTAGGGCCGCGGAGCCTTTGAATTGGCCAGAATCACGAAACCAGGTTTGCCATAGCTTGTGTTTTTTCGGGTGACGGCAGTTCCGGTTAGTGGAAATGGTTAGTGGAAATGGGACTGGGGGGCGCCCCCGGTACAGATCACTAAACCAGGTTCCACTAAACCCAGTTCTACCAACGCTGCTCTTGTGGCGCGCCTTTGTGCCCTCCTAGGAGGGCCCTGGCACTGGGGAGGGAGGGGGGGTGAAAAGGGGCACGGTCGACTCGGAGAGTGAGGGTGAGCGGATCTCCAAGGCTACCCCCTTCTTGCATCCCTACCTTTCGGCCCGCTCTTGGCCGCTTTCGCTGGCCGCGCCCCGCTACGAAAAGTGTCGACGTGGCCTTCCAGGGCCCCTGCGCCCTCATCGTGCATCTTTACGATGCGCGTGGACCGCATCGGTGGAACGCCCACTGGGAGCCTGTCGGCGTGCCGCTCCCTCGCTCTTACCCTAAAGCCCGGTGCTTTGCTCCGCAGCCACACGCTGATGTGTTCCCCACAGCGGCGTGCTACCGATCCTGTCTTGGCTCCCTGCTGCCATCCCCTCCTCGACCCCCCCCCTTCGGATGCAACTCCTGATAAGTCAACTTCTGACTTTACCCTGGTCCGAAATCCAGCTCAATCCCGCTGAATCCCGCTTAAATGCCGCTCAATCCGCGGCCCAGTCCGGCGTAGCAGCCGCCCAATGGGGCTTCAGTCTCCCTAATCCTTCCGACGAAGGCCTCCCAGTAGTTGCTTCCTAGCACACGCGGATGTGTCCCCCACTTCGGCGTGCCACCCATCCTGTCTTGGCTCCCTGCTGCCATCCCCTCCTCGCCCCTTCCCCCCCCCTGCTCGGCGGCGAGCCTGGGGGCGAAGCGAGAAGGGGCGGGCCTCCTCAGAAGGCTCGGCCCTGGCCTTCCGAGAAGTTCTCTAAAAGCCTTCCCCGAAGACACAGAAAACCTTTCAGAAGGCTGGAGGGCTTCGGAGAAGCCCCGCCGCCCAAGGAGTCCTTCTCCTGCTCGTTTCACCTCCCTCGCTCGCCGCCGCATCCCCTCCTCGCCCCCCCCCCCGCGCCCCCCGCGCCCCGCCCGAGGCCCGTCGGGGTGAGGGGCGAGAGCGAGCCGGCGGAGACGAGGCCCTTCTTCAAGGAGTTCTCCGCCAAGTTGCCCATGGACAGCGGCGACGGGCCCGGCTGGCAGCTCAGCGCGGACAATGCCACGGGCCGGGTCTCCATCGCGAAAATCCGCAGCACAGGCTCAGTTTCTGATGTTCCAACCTGCTTTAGCCCTGATCACCAGGAAGAATCCGATGGAGCTGGGACGAGGATAAATCCGTTCCAGAGCGTTCTGGAACGCTCTCGGACCGTTCCGGAACGCTCTGAGAAGGCCGCGGCGCCCGAGACATCTTCCAGAGCCGCCGGATCTCAGAGATTCTCGACTTACCCTCACCCAAATGTATCCTCGGCCTGGCCTCGTCTTGATGAATTTCGAGCAGCAGGGAAATTCCCAATTTAGAGGGTTTTCACGCGTCGGGCTCTGGGAGGCGATACGCGTTCGACACTTCGCGTGTCGGGCAGACGCTGTTTCGGCACTTTTTTCCGAAATTCTATCTGGGAGGTGGTCCTTGAGTAGGATAGGGGGTTCTAGGCTTCCTAGATGGGGTCAGAGCAGATGGGGTCAGAGGATCGCGCCGCATCGCCGATGCATCGCAGATGCGGCTTGATGTGATGCCAGAGTTCCTCCTCGTCAGCGTCGCCAGTGCATCGCCGAGCTCTCGGGTGCATCGCCGATGCATCGGCGATGCATTGCCGATGCATCGACGATGCGGCGCGATCCTCCGACCCCATCGACTCGGACCCCTTCGAGGAGGCCTCTACAGGTTCAGTGCACGCCTGGAACGAGGCGAACCCACTGGACGAGATTCAGGTTGGCGACGTCATCGCAAAGGTGAACAACGTCTCGCCCTTACTGGCCGTCGCTCGCGCTAGCGTTTGGCGACCGCTTCCGGGGGCATAACTATCCCCCAAGGGGAGGGAGAAGTGCTGCCCCGCTTCCCGTGGCAGCCAAGCGGAACATCCCGCACTGCCTCTCGGGATGGACTTGTTGCTCTCTCCAGCCATCATGGGCCGTCGGCCGCGGTCATTGAAGCCGATTTCTCAAGGGTGCGACGGAGCGAGGCTCGTCGAGGAGTGCACCCCCCTGGAGCTGTGGTAAGGGGTTCGGCTACGTCACTTGTAGCGCTTATGAAATCCAATCGAGTGCCTCTGTTGGTCGCATGGGCAGGCCTCCCGTGGGCCCCTCGAGGGCCCATCGGGGGCGTTCTGGGGGCGCCTTGAGGCCCCGCCCCCAGGGGCCGCGCGCCGCTGCCCCCCTCCCTCCCGGCCTCGGAGCCCTGCCGCCGCCTGCGAGACGCGGGGCTGGAGCCGGAGCGGCCTCACGCGATTGGCCAGCGACTGGACCGTGATGTGTCCGAACTTGATCGTTTGTTTGTTTGTTTGTCTGTTTGTTTGTCGTTGTTGTTGCTGTCGCTTGTTTTTCCGTTCCATGAGTGTTCCCTTTCGGATTCCCTCCAGCAGTGGCTGCCGCGGGAGACGAATTACTTCCCCAGTATTGTTATCGGTTGCAATCGGTCATTCAGCATGCGAAAATATCGTAGTACCCCGCAGTTGCGGATAAGAGTGAGGGGGCGGCGAGAACGTCGTCAGTCTGCGAGGCTCTGAAGAAGCCCGCCGCAGGGGCCTAACTTTTACAAATTATGCATTAAGCCCGCCGCAGGCGCCGATTTTTTCGTTGAAGCAATGTGAGTGGATCGCGGGGTGGGTCGCGGGTGGGTCGCGGGTGGGTCGCGGGCCTGGTCGCGGGTGGGTCGCGGATGGATCGCGTATGGGTCTCGTGTGCGTCGCGGGTGGGTCGCGGGGTGGGTAGCGGGTGGGTCGCGGGGTGGGTCGCAGGGTGGGTCGCGGGGTGGGTCGCGGGGTGGGTCGCGGGTGGGTCGCGGGGTGTGTCGCTGGATGTGTCGCGGGTGGGTCGCGGGCGGGTCATGGGGTGGGTCGCGGGTGGGTCGTGGGGTGGGTCGCGGAGTGGGTCGCGGTGGGTGATTCCCAGGTTGGGTCGCGGGTGGGTCGCGGGGTGCGTCGCAGGGGAGACGACGACAACTACAACTAACAACAAACAACAACAACACCACCACCAACAACAACAACAACACCAACAGCAACAACAACAACAACACCCACACCAACAGCAGCAACAACACCAACAACACCAACAACAACAGTAAGATCAACAACACCAATTATAACAACAAAAGCAAGACCACCAACCTCAACAACAACAAGGGCAACACCACCACCAACAACAACAACAGCAGACCATCAACAACAACAACAGCAGTAAGTTTACCCTCATTCGCGATGTTTCCACACGAAGCATGCGACCATCATGATATACATCCACATCATGGGGGGCGCTTGTTCTGTAGCGGGGTCCGTCATTCCCATTCCCAGATCTCCCGCCCAATGAGGTCTTGCAAACACTTCCGAGGAATTTCAACATATCCCGCCTCGGAAACACATGCCCGCGCCTTGCTGCGCCGATGCGAGACCGCCAGTGGAGCCCCAGCCAAGGGTACACATAAGGAAGTATCGACCGACAGGATTGCCTTGGTAGGGGATGGGGGCTGTCGGCGGCGAGGCAAGGACCTGTCCCTGAACAGAAAGGGAGGAAGTCTCGAGCAGGACTGCTGTTGTTGCTGGGAGTGGCGCCAATGCTGAAGAGAGTAGGGCGCTAGTCCAGCGTAAAACAAAACGAAGTCTCGAGCGGGAACGTTGGATTCGTTGGGACGGCGGCTTTCGGCGGCGAGGGGGAACACCGCCTTGAGTTAAAAAGCATGAAGCATCGAGCGGGAACCGTGGTTTTGTCGGGACGGGGGCTGTCGGCGGCGAGGAACAGCACCGTCCCGAGGAAAAAGGGAGGACATTTCGAGCGGGAGCGTTGTTCTTGCTGGGGGTGGCGCCAATTCAAAAGAGAGTAGGGCGCCAGTCCAGCGTAAAACGGAAGGAAGTCTCGGGCGGGAGCGCTGGTTTTGTCGCGTTGGCGGTTTTCGGCGGCGAGGAGGAACACCGCCTTGAGTAAGAAGGGAGGAAGCATCGAGCGGGAGCAGTGGTTTTGTCGGGACGAGGGTTGTCGGCGGCGAGGAACAGCACCGTTTCCAGGAAAAAAGGAGGACGCCTCGAGCGGGAGCGTTGTTCTTGCTGGGAGCGGCGCCAATTCAAAAAGGGAGTTGGGCGCCAGCCCAGCGTAAAACGGAAGGAAGTCTCGGGCGGGAGCGCTGGTTTTGTCGGGGCGGTGGTTTACGGCGGCGAGGAGGAGCACCGCCTTGAGTAAAAAAGGAAGGACGCCTCGAGCGGGAACGTTGTTTTTGCTCGGGGCGGCGCCGATGAGAGAAAGACTAACGCGCCAGTCCAAGGTAGAACGGGAGGAAGTCTCGAGCGGGAGCGCTGGTATTGTTAGGACGGCGGCTTTCGGCGGCGAGCAATAACATCAGCCCTGAGTGAGCAAGGAGGAAATCTCGAGCGGGAGCGTTGTTGTTGTTGTTGAACATTATTATTTCTAAAGAATAATTATTGTTGGGACCCCTGGTGCATGGCCCCCCCGCCGCGCCTAGGCCGCAGCCACATTTTCATCATTTTCGTGAGGAAGTCTCAGGTAAAACGATGTCATCCAGATCCGGTTGTGTTGTTACGATCGGTTTTCCCTTGCAAAAAATAAGCTAAAGTGGACATTTCTTGTTCTAACATAACCAAACTTCAAGAATCCCTTGCAAAAAATAAGGTAAAGTGGACATTCGCGCGCGCAAGACGAAATCCTTCCAAAACCTTAGTTTTCGTAACGATTTTAACATAAAAACATTTTTTTTTTTTTAAGCAATGGTTTTTCAAAAAAAAAATGTCAAAATTTCATCCCGCGCGCTTTTGCGGATTCGTAGGAAACCCAACACTTTTTAATCATTTCTGTCAAACGGGCTTTTGCGAGCAACTTTTTCGAACTTCTGCAACAACGGTTGCGCACCTGCCAGGGCCATCATCCCTGTCAAATAATACCATGCGGGACACATTCGTTTTTTCTTCGCGCGCGCACGCCGTCGTCGTCGGCCGCGGGGCCCTGAATAGTAGCCACGGTCGTCCGCATGCCACGAAGTGAAGTGTCCGAACGTCATAGGGCGGGAAGCTGGGTGTGGGTGGTGGCGAAGAGTCGTTTGGAAATTTGGTAGAGCTTGAACCGGCCCCCCCACAAAGTGGGGGTATTGCCCGCCTCCTATGAAAACCCTGGCACTGGTGAGAACGGTGTGTCCCCACGTGCTAGTAATTGTTGTTGTTGTTGTTGTTGTTGCTGTTGTTGTTGTTGGGGGGCCAGTTTGTGCGGTCCCCCAAACCGCGCGAGCTTGAGCCTCAGTTTCGGTGGAAATGTAGCCGGTGCCTCGGCGAGAGCGCCAGCGCGCCTGTAAGGGGTCCAACAACAATAACTGTTTAGCAATGAACATTCAACAACAACATCAACAACAACAACAACCATTTTACCCTCACGCGCGATGCTTCTTCACGAAGCATGCGACCATCATGGTCACCACCCCCATCATGGGGGACTCTTGTTCTATAGCGGGGTCCGTCATTCCCATTCCCAGATATCCCGCCCAATAAGGTCTTGCAAACACTTCCGAGGAATTTCAACATATCCCGCCTCGAAAACACATGCCCGCGCCTTGCTGCGCCGATGCGACACCACCAGTGGAGCCCCAGCCAAGGGTAAAACACAAGGAAGTATCGAACGACAGGATTGCCTTGGTGGGGATGGGGGCTGTCGGCGGCGAGGCAAGGACCTGGCCCTGAATAGAACGGGAGGAAGTCTCGAGCAGGGCTGCTGTTGCTGCTGGAACGCCAATGCTGAAGAGAGTAGGGCGCTAGTCCAGCGTAAACGGGAGGAAGTCTCGGGAGGGAACGCTTGTTTTGTTGGGACGGCGGTTTTCGGCGGCGAGGAGGAACACCGCCTTGAGTTAAAAAATGAGGAAGCCTCGAGCGGGGGCCGTGGTTTCGTGGGGACGGGGGCTGTCGGCGGCGAGGAACAGCACCGTCCCGAGGAAAAAGAGGAAGTCTCGAGCGGGAGCGTTGTTCTTGCTGGGAGCGGCGCCAATTCAAAAGAAACTATGGCGCCAGTCCGAGGTAAAGCGGGAGGAAGTCTCGGGCGAGAGCGCTGGTTTTGTCGGGGCGGCGGTTTGCGGCGGCGAGGAGGAGCACCGCCTTGAGTAAAAAACGGAGGAAGCCTCGAGCGGGAGCGTTGTTCTTGCTGGGGGCGGCGCCGACGAGAGAAAGAGTAGCGCGCCAGTCCAAGGTAGAACGGGAGGAAGTCTCCAGCGGGAGGGCTGGTTTTGTTAGGACGGCGGCTTTCGGTGGCGAGCAACAGCACCGGCCCTGAGTAAAAAAGGAGGAAATCTCGAGCGGGAGCGTTGTTGTTGGGGGGCCGGTTTTGGCGCCCCCCCAAACAGCTCGAGTGTGAGCCTCATTTTCAATGAACATGTAGCCGGGCGCCTCGGCGAGAGCGCCAGGGCGCCTGGAAGGGGTCCAACAACAATTATTGTTTAGTAATTAGTAATTAACATCCAACAACAACATCAACAACAGCAACAACAACAACAATCATTTTAAGACTGTTCGCCCTTATCTACTCGAGTGTCCAATAACGCGTATTTCCCAAACCCTCGCTACCCGCCCTCTTCGTCTTCGATCGAACCCCTTTTGGGGGGTATACCTTTCTTCCCTGCAGGCCGGGCCCCGGCAAGCGGCGGGGCGGCCGCGGACCGTCGGCCTGGCCAGCGGCAGCGCTGATCGGCGGGGCGGCCGCGGACCGTCGACCCGACCCCAAGAGGGACGGACAGGGGACCGACCACGACGTCGACGACG